AATAAAAAATTGGGGTTTCCATTTAAGAAAAATAATGATCAGTGAATATCTCTAAAGTGGTGCCATTTGTAAAAATAGTATAGCTATTTTATGTCCCCCTTGAAATCATAAAACTTTTATCCGAAACATTTCTGCTGGAAACGCTTCGTAGAATTATCGAGATACGTTTTTTAAAATGGGACACCCTGTATATAAAATTCAATTTAATTAATCCTGTCATATTCAAAATTATTTTTATAAATTACTCATAAATATCTGTGTTAAATAATTATAAAGATTACAAATTATAAAGGAGAGCTTCTATGCAATTAAAGCAATTGATAAGAAAATGAATTAGAATGCTTAGAATTAGAAAGATTATTCTTTATTAAAGTTTCATATTGAATATTATTTATATTACTATTTAAGGTAGTATTTAAGAATAAATAAAATAATTGAAACATAATGAAATAATGAAATAATTGAAAGAATAAATAAAATAATTGAAATAAATAAATAATTGAAACATAAAACATGTTGCATGGACATATATTCATATACAGGGTGTCCCATTTTAATGTCCCACCTCAAATAACTCTTCAGTATTAAAGTTTCAAAGAAAATGATCTGAATAAAAGTTGTAGGGATTTAAATGAGCTACCTTGTGATGACCTTCACTTTGACCTCGACCTCTATTTTCAAGATCATTTGAAGGCCAACTTGCGTTTTTTAAACGGGAACCCTTATTTTTATTAGTGTTTTTTCTACTAGTTAATTTGAACAACTTTTATCTAAAATATTTTTTTATTTGTCTAATATTTTTTGAGATATTTGAGGAAAACTTGATAACTTTTTCAATATTTAACTTACGATATCTCGCTAATTATTTGTCGGAAGAAAAAGTGGTACTAGACTTTCTTGCTTTATTTAGTTTCAAGAATATATTGTTACAATAGTGCCTTGACTTGACCACTTTTTCTTCCGACAAATAATTAGCGAGATATCGTAAGTTAAATATTGAAAAAGTTAAATATTGAAAAGGTTTTCCTCAAATATCTCAAAAAATATTAAACAAATAAAAAATGTTTTAGACAAAAGTTGTTCAAATTAACTAGTAGAAAAAAAACAGTGTAATAAAAAATAACGGTTCCCGTTTAAAAAACGCAAGTTGACCTTCAAATGACCTTGAAAATAGAGGTCAAGATCAAAATCAAGGTCATCATAAGGTAACTCATTTTAATCCCTACAACTTTTATTGAAGTCATTTTCCTTGAAACTTCAATATTGAAAAGTTATTTGGGATGGGACATTAAAATGAGACATCCTGTTTTTGCCAAATATAGGAGAGGTAGAAAGAGAATGAATAAGTAAGAGAATATCGTAGAAGTTGATCCTATTTGTTTCTGTAAGAGAAATAAGAAACATGATGGACAGATAAATGAACTGACAGATTCAAGTTTTGGCTAAGCTGACACTTTGACACTGTCATTAACTGAAACTGAAATACACAACCGATAACGCGTTTTGTGATTTGTATTGGTTGTACGTTTCTGTTGCAGTATCAGTGACAATGTTAGACCAGCTAAAAATTCAATGTGTTAACTAATTTTCCTATCCATATTCTCCTCTGTCTCTTTCACGCAACAGAATCATTTTAATTAGGACACAAATATATTTGATATAATAATACAAAAGTAAATTAAAAAATTAACTTAACAGAAGTATATATGTATCGGAATTTGCTATCGCTTATCAATTATTTGATTATACACATATACCTAATAAAAAAATCATATATCAAGTAAAAATATATTATAAAAAAACGATATAAAAGAATATAAAAAATGTTAAATTATAATATCGAAATCAAAACCATAATGATCGCGGATCGCTATGTATATAAAACACGGGATAACAAAATATGAGTTCTAAATATTTTCTGATAATGAACAAGATTTATGAACTGCGTTTTTGTGCGTGTACTGTTATATATGTATGTGCATATGTATATGATAAAACACACGCGCACGCGCACCATGCATACACACAACCCGCACATACCACCCTCATACTCATACGCACATACACGCATGTACATATGCATACATACGACCTTATACATTTAATATATATTCTATCATAAAATACCACACTACAAATATAATTTATGAATATGAAAATGCATATTAATTAATGTAAATCTGTCGATAAGAATATTATTTATGTTCTTTTAGACTCATAAGTTCCTTGCTGCATAACTCTTGATTAATAATATCAAGAATAAAAAAATCTGACCTAAAGATTTTTATAAAATGCTTAGAAATAAAAAAAATATGTCCATAAAATGACATTTGTAAAACATATCTGTAAAATAATCCAAACACGTTTTTGCTTAAACAATTAATAAATTACTATAAAATTAATATTACATCCCAGATAGCCAAACTTGTGCAAACAAATTTCGAGCAAAGTTTCCTATCAATTTTTGATGGCAGATAGGTGACAAATTTAATGCTGGATCTATATTATTAAATTCTGTTGCTAAACTGCTGCCAAATATGCAACAGAGCTTGTTATCGAGCAACTTGCAGCAAAAAGCGCACAAATTTGTTGCAAGTTATCCGACAGTAAGTTTTGACGCCAAAACACAAACTGAATGCGGATACAGATGGCTATGGTTTTGGTATTGGTTTTTAATCGAATTTGCTGCAAATTTGTGCATAATTTGCGGTCAATTTGCTTATTGGTATGTAACCTATTTCTTAACTTATCTCTTATCGTAATATTGTTAGATTAATTTTAGCTATTTATTAATTGTTAGAACAAAAGAAAAATGTTTGGACTATTCTTCAGTTCTATCCAATAAATTGCAAATATAATTTAGTGAACATATTTATTCATTTTGACGTTTTTGTAAGAATTTTTAATGTGTATTTCTCTACTCCTGATATTATAATTCAAAATGATTGTGGCAAGCAAACAAGAATTTTAACTTAAATATATTTTGTCTCAAAAGAGACATATATGCATATATTCGCTTAAAATCTCTCTATTTTTGTATATTTGAAGTGTATATGTATGTGTATATACAGAGGATCTCATAACTCAATACGAGGAATTCGTGGAGATGTCTTCATATCTCCACGAGGGGAAGGACAATGCACCGCTATTCGTATTTTATCTCGCCGCGCGCCAGCAACAGTTACTAGATCTTATGTGTTATATATTATATGTTATGCAAAAGTCTGTGCTCTTGCCCGAAAATTAATTGGTTTATTTTCTTATGTGTTATGTATTATGTGTTATGCAAAAACCGTGTCCAAGGGCAAGAGCACAAGATTTTGCATAACACATAATACATAACACATAAGAGAATAAACCAATTAGTTTTCTTCATTTCCCTTCTCAGGACAGAAATGAAGAACTCTGATTGGTTGATTCTCTAATGCGTTGTGTATTATGCGTTATGCAGAAGTCTGTTCTATAGTCCTAGTCTGATCGACTAGGCCGCGCTTTTGCTCGAGTGGCTACAATACTTCTTCTATCATCCATCTCGACGCGCGCTTATTCAGATTTCTATAATTAATAACTCAATAATTATTATGAATATTGCAAAACGGTATGGAATTTTTTGTTCCTCTTACTCCTCTACAAGTTCTGTCAAAATTGTTCTAAGATACCTTGTATATATACAGAATGTTTGATAATTCATGTAGCCATAGCCAATGGAGGCATAGAGCTAATTAAGATAAACATAAAAGTCCTATACAATTTTGCGATATTTACAATAAATATCGAGTTATTAATTATAAAAATGACAAGTGAGTGGACGACAATATGGATGATGGGAGAAGCATTATAGTCATTCGGGTAAGAGCACAATCTATCAATTGTTGTCGGTGCACGAAAAGGTGAAGGTGAAGGACAATACGCCGCTATTCGTATCCTATCTCGCCGCTCCTACATTCTGCATTATTGCACTAACAAACAAATTGATTTTATATGAAAATAATGTTCATTAAGCCATATAACTTCATCCTGTACATTTTTTTCTACTGTCTAAAGTATAATAGATATTAACTGTTACGGTTCTGCGAAACATTCCGTGTATATATATATATAAAGTGTTTAGTAACTTATGTAATCAAAGCTAGTGGAGCCGTAGAACTGATTAAGACAAACATTTTGCGATATTCGCAATAATTATCGAGTTATTAATTATAGAAATTTGGCGAATGAGCGCACACCGTGATAGTATTGGATGAGTATACAGCCACTTAGACTAGCAGCACGGCCCAGTGATTCTGCAACTGGTATCGGTGTACGACAAGACGTAGGAGCGGTGAAATAAGACTAGCGCATATCGAATAATGACGCAATGTCTTTTCCTTCGCGCCGACAACAGTTGTTGGATCGACTCGACAATTATTTTGCGAATATCGCTAAACTTTTATGTTTGTTTTAATTAATTCTACGCCTCCGCTGGCTATAACTACATATGTTACTAAACACTTTGCATATGCATGAAGTATTTCACAGAACCGTAACAATTAATATCTATTGCATTTTAGACAGTAGTAAAAAAAGATGAAGTTAAATGGCTTAATAAGCATTATATGCTATAAATGCTGCAATTGTGTATCGTTGTACATCCATAATGCTATCAAATGTTTGTTGTATGATAATTAAACGTTCGAACGTTTACTTTAATAAATCTGAAATATCTCATTAATTATCGCATACTTATTTTCTGATTATCTTACCCTACTACTTTTTTTGCAGAATATTATGTGTACACATACATATACACACACATACACACGAGTGTTAAAGCATTCAATATGACGATCGCAAATATTTCCAAAAACATATCTGTTTTATGTGAAAAACTACTTTAGATAAAAATTATAGAATCTCAAAGCAATTGTGAAATACGAATGTTGATTTGACTTTGAGAAAAGATTATCAAAACACCAAAACATATGAAAGTAACCTTGAATTTTTTAATTATGTCCCCCTGTTTTTTATTGCATATTTTTGTAATTAACATCTGCACATTGTCAAAATTAATACAGATAATTAAATGTTTTCCAATAAAAAATTTCCAATAAAAAATTTTTTATCTGTAAGTCATTTTGATATAGTTTCTTATGTAACGCGTTCTTTTTTTAATTTTTGCGATTGTTAAGTTAAATGCTTCATTTAATATATTTCATGATATGCAATATAATGCAATAAATAAATATGTGTACATATGCCTTAAAAAGATAAAAAAGGACAAAGTATTTCATATTAAAGTACTAGTTAATTAATTATTAAGTTAATTATTAATCCCTAAGGCTCCTGTGGGTTCCCGCCGCAGCTATATTGGATAGTGACGTCAGAAACAAGAAATGACAGATTGAAAATTCTTATATGCTGCTCCCAAATAAAAAGATATTTATATAAAAAAATACTTCAAATCGCTAGATCATACTTATAAAATGATTCGAACACTATGCTTCTCTCTAGATAGTTAATCAACAATCATAAAATGATTTATACAGAGTGGACCATAATAAAATGCCAGATCTGAAATGTGTGCCATTTTATCATGACGTATAATTTCCTTTTGATAGTTGTGCGGTGCATATGTTCAAGTTTCATAATTAATCAATGTATACCACAAGAATATACAGAAATTATGACTTTGTTCATCAAGAACAATGAGTCAGTTATTTCAATGTAGCGAAATTTTTGTTCATTAACGAAATTATCCTCGTTACTTGATATCAATTAAAAAAACAATACACCGTTTTGCTGAACAATTTCAGTGTCGCAGGACAATGGCCCGTGACAAGATGCAAAGGATATTGGAAGGAATTGTGAACAAGATATTCAAATGAAAATATTGAATATGTAAGGGAAAACATTGTCGAAAAACCAAATACGTCGACCAGAAGACGAATCACGCAATTAGGTCCGGTTTCACAACTTACTTCTAACTCGTTAACTTAGTTTAGAGGAAATGTTACGTTCCACAATTGTTATAAACTTCGGTCTATCTCCTATGATTAAAGTTAATCGTCAGATTTTAAGCGTTTAATGAACATAAATGAAATTTAATGCTGCAGTATCACCAATTTCAAAGTCAAGATAACTATCGTCCAGCTTTTTAGAGTATTATATTGAATTGATATAATATCGCAATTTATTCAGCGTCGAAAGATAAGAAAATAATCTATACAAAAAATGAGGAATAATATCTATACAATAAATGAGGAATTTGCTAAAGAATATGATTTTAAAATATATATTATCTTCATCTGAAGATGAAGATTTTAAAGATTTAATTATTAACGTCCGAAAATTATAAGAAAACGACCATCGTAGAAGAATTCGATAACATCGATTTTCATGCGCGATTCCGTTTATCCAAAGAATCTATTACTAGTGCGAGCAGAAATCGATCAAGTTGTTTTCGTCCTTACGTCTTTTCTACCGTCTTATTTCCGTTTATTATTAATCAATCACAATCTATGTTTGAAAAGAAAAAGATCTTGAGATTTTCTTCACAGACTATAGGTTTATATATATTACAATTATAAGTACGATGTAGAGCACAATGCAAATTTAACCATGACGTTAAATATAACAGCTGTTCCACTATGTCTGGTTTAAATTCAAATTTGTGAAACTGAGCTTTAAATATTCCTCAGACATCTTTGAGAATTTTGATCTTAGAGTTGCATAGGTTGCGTAAGTTTTCATACAAGATCCAAATAACATATCAGCTACAGCTCAGAGATTACCAAGAACATCTTCAGTAGTCACGCCTTCCTAAAATTGAATAATACAATTGACGATTTTTCAGACAAACTCATTATGAATTACGAAGAATTATGAATTACAAATCCTATAAGTGAATTTGTTAATAAGCAAAACTTGTTTTCCGTAAATTATTTTTCTAATTGGGGCTAGATGACGAGGATGATTTCGTCGAAAATTTCGCTGCGTCAAAATTACTGACTCATTATTGTTAATAAACAAAATCACAATTTCTGTACGAAATGTCCAAATTTTTTGTCATATCGATAGTTTTATATTGATTCATTATGAAATTTAAACATATGTATGATTATTAAAAAAAAACATGAACCGTATTATGACAATATGGACACTTCTTGTTAGATACTTTATCATGGCCCATCCTATCATCATTCCATACGACTAACTTTATATTACTGTCATTTTACAGTTATTTATTGATTTTCAAGAGAAAAACATAATGTTTGAAACATTTTAAAAATATGTTTTAGTGACTTGAAGCATTTTTTCATAGAATTTTCTTTTGTTGGAAATGTTATACAAGAATTTTGAGCATGCGTTTTCTCGCTTCTGATGTCATCTGAGTTCCGTAAGCAAGACAACCATGATTATTCAAAAATATGTTTGAACTAATGTTAAATCTTTTTTCTTAAGAAAAAAAAGTAAATGTTGAGAGCAATATCAGAAACATTTAATTGTCATGCTTCTCTCTTTCAGTCTATTGTGTCAAAAGAAATATCTAAATGCTATCATATTTTTATAACAGTCTATGTTTCAATGAACGGAAAAAAGCTTTAGACCGAAGTTTCAGAGTTCAATCGCAATAAAAACTTATTTGATTTAGGATGCGCCAATTGCTCAGTAAGATTAAAGTGCGGTAATCTCTGCGCCGTACAGAGAAGTGCCACTTCGCCCTGTCTTAATTGAAATTCACAACCACTAGCAATTTGGCGTGAAGGTAGCTCTCCTTCGCAAACCAAGGCCCAATGATGCGATCGTTTTTGTCTCTCTTTTTCATTCGATAGCACCGGACTTGTGTTAAAAAATGGCTCTAAAAAAGCGCGTGGTGCTGCATCCTGAGCTAAACAACGAGCAAGACGATTTAAAATAGATTCTACGGAATGACGCGGCTGTTGCCGAGTGACTCGCAAGTACTTTTGCAAAGCTCTCGCCATAGAAGGGAACACAGCTTGCGCGGCCTCCATAGGATCCATTGGTCCCGGGTTTGGAGTGGATTCTACTTCAGAGTGCAAACGCTTAATGTGTGCAAAGGCCTCTTCGGCAGCAGTGATTAATCTCGCTCGGCGTTTCCGTACTCGTCGCTCATAATCATGTTCCTCATAGAAACGCTCATTGTGACTGGAGTCTCGACGACGTGCTTGAGCTGCCAGCACTGCCCTGTCACCACTACCACCGCGTGATTGCATGGCGCCAGTTATTCCACCATCAACTTCGTAGAATTTGAAACTTGATTGTTTTCTGCCTGATTTCGAGACTGGCAATCTTTCTAAATATGGATTATAAATCGGAAAATCGGTATAATATCTTTCCAAGATCCATACGGCCGCTCTCTGTATCGATAACTGACCAATCGCATAAGATCTTGATTCACCATCTGGTGATCTGACCACCTGCAAAATCAATAAAATTCATAATATAAAAAAAATGATTTATAATATATTATAATCATATGTTGCTAATACAAAAAAAATTATGTACTTTAAGATAGAAGGTGGGCTGTAAATGACGAACTTCAATAAGGAGCACAGCAATGTAGTGTATAAACAACAGCGTGTCAGCAAAGGTACCTGCATAATTTACTAAACTTTTGTACTCTGTTATTTCACCATTGGCAGCAGTCTTAGCACTCTCAGTGACCTGACAAATACAAACACTCATTAGAATATTTCATATTTATAAAGAAAAACAAATAATTTATATTTTTAATTTGCACAAACCTGTACAACATAAAAAAGCCAATAAGTACAAATGCACAGTGTAGTGAGTAATAGCACTCCTGTTCTGAATAAAAATACACGTGGCATAGTAGCTGCTCGTGAACGTAGAAATACTGCCCAGCTGCCGATGCCTAATAGCACCAGTTTAAAGGCTAATCCTAGCAGCTGACCTTTGCATTCTGCATTACATGACAATAATTGCAGTCTCTGTTGCATTGTCAGTACTGTTGTTGGATCAGGAAAGAATCCCAATTTAGGCAAGATAACCATAGCTATAGGACTAAGGAAGGCGCTTATTCCAAGTATAATAGCAATAATTGGACCAACATAGCGATTGCAGCTAGAGCTGAATGTGCCATCATTTTCATTTGGCCAATGGTTTACATCTTCAGTTGATTCTGACCTATCTGAGGTATTACCAGTTACAGCTGTGGTATTTTCACCCCAATTTTCATCCTGTGGTAGTATCTGTACTTCAATCACCTCTTGACCTAAGTTATCTACACTATCTCCTCTTACATTCACAGTTGTTTGAAATGGTGCCATTTCACTACCATCTAAGTTTTGCCTTTCTTTCCTCTGATTACGATTGCTCCTAGAAAATAAGTAATAATAAAAGGACAATAATAAAGGATCTTCCTAGCAATAATTGATTTTAACAATGATATAAACGTTTGCTAACTTATGCTACTAATATTTAGATACTAGAAATACTAGAGAGAGACTGTAAAGATGATTTAAATATCAATTCTTTTAATATTTGAGATACAAAACCTACCTAGTAGTACGATGAGAATGTTGCCTGTGATGCTGTTTCGAGCTATGGGACCGATGTTTCTGGGAGCTCCTGCTGTGGTGGCTATGGCTATGCTCACTAGCCCCGGACTTTACGCTCTCCGTCTCCATTCCCCGGCAAAGGCTACCGCCCACTCATTACCCCATAAAAACATACCCTTCTTCGAGCTTGGACGAATGACGGACACATGTACGTGAGGTAATGCGATACAATGCGGCTACGTAAGACTACGTTTATAACTTGACAAATATTCAGCTTTTTGGAATACACTACTGTTGCAATTTGACGGGAGTACTTTCGCGTCGTTGCCTGGTGTCCACGTGCACCGTTGACATTCTGTCTTCGCTAGAAACTGATCTATGAAGACTGATGATCACTGCACAGTTACAAAGTAACGGTAACGATAGTCGCCAAAATAATCACAAATCTTATAATGAGTATAAAAACCGGACGCCGACACACCTAACGTTTTATTATTCCCACCCTCTCCGTTTCGTTGACCGATCAGCAAAGCTATCACATTCCATGGTAATTGTAAGGGCCAGAACACAGACTTCTGCATAACGCATAATACACAACGCATAAGAGAATCAACCAATCAGAGTTCTTCATTTCTGTCCTGAGAAGGGAAATGAAGAAAACTAATTGGTTTATTCTCTTATGTGTTATGTATTATGTGTTATGCAAAATCTTGTGCTCTTGCCCTTGGACACGGTTTTTGCATAACACATAATACATAACGCATAAGAAAATAAACCAATTAGTTTTCGGGCAAGAGCACAGACTTTTGCATAACACATAATATATAACACATAAGAGAATAAACCAATTAGTTTTCTTCATTCCCCTCCTCAGGACAGAAATGAAGAACTCTGATTGGTTGATTCTCTTATGCGTTTTGCAGAAGGCCAGTACCGCGATTCTGTAACTCGTTATTGGAGTTAACGACACTTTCGTTATCGTTGCGCAGCTTTTGTATACCGTAGAAAAGCTGCGCAACAATAACGAAACTGTCATTAACTCCAATAACGAGTTACAGAATCGCACCACTGGGAGTCTATTCCTGAAACGAGGACCCTAGATATCGCATGCGATATCGCATACGATAGCAGAAATGATATTCTTGAATGAGATGCATCGCATGCGAGAAAATATCGAACGATTCATACCGAGTGGTATAACCCATGCGATATGCAAGTCGCATACGATAAATCTAGTAATAAAAGCGCTGTTTTCGACAAAAAATGAGGTTATACAATGTGAGTGAGGTGAATTAAATTAATTGTTTTGCAATGAATATGGCATATCAAAATGCTGTGCAACTTTATATCGCTGAACAATTGGAAAATATTTTCGATTATAATGAAAGACTGCGTTTTCACATAAGGGATGATCCATTTGAATTATCAGAACGACAATTCATAAATCTTTTTCGATTGAAAAAAGAAACAGCAAACAGACTTATTAATATTGTGGAAGACAATTTTGTAGAACCATCACGATCTTCAGCTTTGGACGCGACAAGTGCGTACAACACATGCAGAATATAAATTATTTGATATAATTATTTAATAAAATTATTGTAGGTTTTAGTTGCATTACACTTTTATGGATCAGGCAGCTATCAGAATTGCATAGGAAAAAATATTCACATCGCTATTAGTCAACCTTCGGTTAGCAGATGTGTTCGAAATGTGACTAACATTCTTAATTTACCAGAAATATTCAACGATTGGGTGTATTTTCCTAACACCTTTCAGAAGCTGCAACAACTACGTAACAAGTTAGTATATATTCAGAAAAATTAAATAGGATAATGTGTATATAATTATGGTCTGTCTGATCTCTATGACCTGTATTCTGAGCTCTCTTTTATTGATAAAAGCCTCTAAAAATGGCATATAACCCTTGTGATTGGCTATAAGCCACTTTTAGAGGCATTTTTAGCGATAAAAAAGAGAGCTCAGAATGCGGGCTTATGACATTGGGTACTTTCCATTTAGCGACACAAGTTGACTCAAGCATCATTTTATCTTTGTTCTACATTTTATGAGAAAAAGATAGAATGATACTTGTGTTGATTTGTGTCGCTAAATGGAAAGCACCCATTGTATATATTTATATATATATATATAATATAATCATACGTATTTATTTATATATATTATTTATATTATATGATAGATTATTATACTATATATAGATTATGTTATATGCACAGTACCAGTCATTAATTTATTCCGTTCCTTTAGTGAATGTATATAGGATGTGTAACACATTCTATAGAAACTTGCTAGGGAAACGAAACGAATTAATGACAGACAGTGTACATGTATATAGATTTTGGATTAATCATCGTTTTCCTGGAGCGATTGGTTGTATAGACTGCACTCATGTTGTAATTGTTTCACCTCCTAAAGAAGATTAGAATTATCCTGAACATATATACATAAAAGGATATCATTCTATTAATGTACAATTGGTAAGATTGTGTATTAACACAATTCAATTAGATATATTATTATACAAATTCAATTAGATATATTATTATACAAATAATACAAATATAGCTTTCTTTGCAGATATATGATTCTGATCTCAGGATAATGAATGTTAATGCCAGATATCCTGGAAGTATTCACGATTCGTATATCTGGAATAATAGTAATGTTCTTCCTTGTTCTTATGCAAGATATTTACAATCGTGGACACAGCTTTTTTTTATTAGGTAATATATAATCGTCAAAGTGATTATTCAATATTGTTTTTAGTTACAATATATAACATTATATTGCTTTACAGGTGATTCTGGTTATGCTCTTAGACCTTGGATGATGACTCCAATAATGGACAATAATCCTAATATTGGAACAAGAAGATACAATGATCGGCAAAAGAGCACTAGATCACTTATTGAACGTTGCAATGGTGTCTTGAAGATGATATTTCGTTGCTTGTTGAAACATAGAATTTTACATTATCGACCAGATGTATGCTTAAAAATTATCAATGCTTGTACCGTGTTACATAATATGTGCATTCACGACAACGTGCCTTTACCCGAAGCAGATCATGAAATATTGGATTTTGGTATGAATGTTATAGATGGTGTAAACGAACCCGGGATAGATATGTTAAATAGAAATAACGAACTGATAGCTGGACGAAGAATTCGCAATAATCTAATAAGACAATATTTCCCCTGACAATATTTTGTACTTTTTACACATGTATTATATATACACATATTTGTATTTTATTATTGTAACAAGTTTTGGCAATGAATAATATTTTTGTAAACATTTGCTTTATTTCTTTTGGCAATATTCTTTATAATAACAAACATATAAAATGAACATAAAATAAATCTCTTATCTTAGTTTTTTAACTTATGTAACAATTTGTACACATCAACAGCTTATAGGAACATTTACTTCTTTGTGAATACACTAATGTCATTTTCACAGCCTATATCTTATATCTGTAACTCTTTCATTGCTTTTTTTTACTAATTGCTCCAGCAATGTGCATGTATTTTCTTTGATATTGATATCTTTTTCTTTCAGAGCTATGTTCTTCTTATAAAGTTTTAATTTTTGTGCGTAATACGATTTTCGTATCTCGCTATCTTCCTGCGAAATTTTCACTAACTTTTCAGTTTGTTCAATTGATTTATCATATCTTTGTGCAGCAGCAATTCTTTTAACACCTCTTTGTATGCCACTCGATTTTGAAGCTGGTGTTACAGAAAAATCTGATATGTTGTTGACTACACTAATTGGTGTTTCTAGTGCAGTTGTTTCCGTTTTTTTTAAGATTTCCTATTGTTATTGTCATTATCATTGTTTAAGTTTTCTTCTGGTGAGTTTTCTTCCAATATACTGTAATAATCTTGAGAAGATAATGACTGTTGTGACACAGATTGCTGCGTTATCTCTTGACTTTTGTATTTTATGGGAAAATTGTTCCTATTTTCATCATCATTGATTTCACATACAATTGAATCATCTATCCACTCCTGCAAAAAATATCAATGTACACGCATACTTTCTGTTAATATTTAATATTATAGTTTCTTAATATATTTCTGATATTATAATACAATACAACAAAGATGCTTACAATTTGCACGTTGGATTCTTGCACTATCTTATGTCCCACGACTGTTGTACCCATAATTGGCAGGACATTTTGATCCATTTTGGTTAAAACCTGACTTGACGCAGGCCCTCCACCAGTTGCTTTTGCATGATCTTGATCAAAATATTTCTGGCTTTAATGGAACTTCGCATGTCTTGCCAAGTCTCTGATATGGACACAAAGTAGACAATCAGATTATTTAAAGTATATAATCTTTTTTCTGTACAAAGAAATCTAGGTATTTGTCAATATAATACATACCTTTCGCCATTGTTTCCACTCTTTTTGTGCACCAGGTATCTCATGTAATTCTGCTGTTACCTTTTCCCATAATTTTTAAACATGTTTGAAAGTAAACGTTGCAGAAAACTTTCCACTATGTAATTCCGGATGTTTACGCATAAATTCTGCAATTCAAATATATATTATAGAGCACTAAAAAGAGTATTGAAAGATTAATAAATAATAGTTACTACCAGTCTGTCAAACAGCTATTACTCATTATTTGTTGACCCATTAAATGTCTTTAAATACAAGTTGCAAATTTTTAATATAAATAAGCTCAGTTTAATATAATAAGCTGAGTTGACTGACAGTTTAAAGCAAATTTCATTAGACTTACATATTGAAAATAATATTTACCAACTAGCAAACTTTTCTGTTCTTCATTAACATATTGTACATCGTTTCCTTACTTCATTTGACGCCAATGCCATTTTAAATCAATGTTGACTATTAATATTTTTTTAACTATAACCAAATTGGCACTTCAAATAAAATATATCACAGAAATTTTTGTAGAGTTGAACTGCGTTGTTTAGATTTAGGCTGAGTTCCGAAATTCGCTGCCAGTATTCAAGAAAATACGCGACATAAACTATAGATGTTCAGTACGCAGTGACTTTCGGAACACAGCTTTTATCGCATACGAAATTTATCGCACACCTCATATCGCATGATAGCTGAGAATACCATTCTGAAGTCGCATACGATACTGACCGTGCGATATTTTCCGCATGCGATAATTATCGCATGAATTCAAGAATAGGGCCCCTGACCTACAATAGATGTTGTAAGCTGTACACCGTAAGAACTGACCAATTATAGCTGATTATTTTTGTAATAATCGGCTGCGATTCGCCAATTCTTACGGCTTACAACTTACGACACATATTGTAGACCAGGCCTAAGTCTGTGCTCTGGCCCTAACGATTAAAAACACTGCAATATCTAGAGAAATGTTACTATATGGCAAATTAGACTGGAAGCTCTAGTCCACAGCAGTACCAGTAGAGAGGAACTTGGAAAGCGGCCAACACGGCGTTTTCGGCGACACCGATTTTTCGCACTGGGAATGGGCGCCATCTGCATCCATTTTGAGAAGGGAACTACGATGCTACATCCTTTTAGGTCTTGGCGGTTAAACCTGCATCTGGTGGCTGTCCGTGCTACATTCACTTTCAGGAGGTTTATGTCCGTGCTACAACTATAATAGCGTACCTGACAAGCACGATCTCGCATTGTTATGCGCATTGTAACATGAATTAACATGTTAACATACGCAAAAAAAAAGAATTGAGATTGTGTATAATTAAAATCATGAAGATTATACACGATTTATATAAATATATGATAATAAAATGATATTTTGTACCCAAAATTATTTTCTCAAAATATTTCAGCGTTACGATAGTATTTATTTATACTGTGACAGGCGTTTTCTAGCAATTGTATCCGTGTGCGTGTGATGCATTTAAAATGTTTGTGATGCATGTGTGCGAACACACACACACACATACACACACACACACAGAGAGAGAGAGAGAGAGAGAGAGAGAGAGAGAGAGAGAGAGAGAGAGAGAGAGAGAGGAGAGAGAGAGAGAGAGAGAGAGAGAGAGAGAGAGAGAGGAGAGGGAGAGGGAGAGGGAGGGAGGGAGAGGGAGGGAGAGGGAGGGAGGGGAGGGAGGGAGAGGGAGGGAGAGGGAGGGAGAGGGAGGGAGAGGGAGGGGGAGGGAGGGGAGGGAGGGAGGGAGGGAGGGAGAGAGAGGGAGGGCGGGAGAGAGGGAGGGAGGGAGAGGGAGGGAGAGGGAGGGAGGGAGAGGGAGGGAGAGGGAGGGAGAGGGAGGGAGAGGGAGGGGGAGGGAGGGAGAGGGAGGGGGAGGGAGGGAGGGAGGGAGGGAGGGAGCGAGGGAGAGAGAGAGAGAGAGAGAGAGAGAGAGAGAGAGAGAGAGAGAGAGAGAGAGAGAGAGAGAGAGAGAGAGAGAGAGAGAGAGAGAGAGAGGGAGGGAGGGAGGGAGGGAGGGAGAGGGAGGGAGAGGGAGGGAGAGGGAGGGAGAGGGAGGGAGAGGGAGGGCGAGGGAGGGCGAGGGAGGGAGATAGAGGGTAGAGGGGGGAGAAAGGGGAAGAGAGGGAGAGAGATGTGAGAAGGAGAGAGAGAGATTGGGAGGGGGTGGGGTGGAGGGAGGGAGAGGGATAGAGAGGGGAGAAAGAGAGAGAGAGGGAGAGAGAGGGGGAGAAAGGGAGAGAGGGAGAGGGGGAGGGAGGGTAGAGGGGGGAGAAAGGGGAAGAGAGGGAGAGAGATGTGAGAAGGAGAGAGAGAGATTGGGAGGGGGTGGGGTGGAGGGAGGGAGAGGGATAGAGAGGGGAGAAAGAGAGAGAGAGGGAGAGAGAGGGGGAGAAAGGGAGAGAGGGAGAGGGGGAGGGAGGGTAGAGGGGGGAGAAAGGGGAAGAGAGGGAGAGATATGTGAGAAGGAGAGAGAGATTGGGAGGGGGAGGGGTGGAGGGAGGGAGAGGGATGCAGAGGGGAGAAAGGGAGAGGGGTATGAGAGAGGTGAGAGAGAGAGAGGGTGAGAGGGAAGAGTTGGAGGGTGGGAGGTGAAGGGGTGGTGAGCGGAGGGTGGAGGGAGGGAGGGCGAGTGATAAGGGGGAGGGGGTGAAAGCGGGAGGGAATGTGTTCGCTCCATCTCGCTCTGACTCGCAACGTTGCCGGGACTGTGCTTCCCGACCATAGATATAGGAATATAGGGACGAAGCATAGAAGTGCGGGGGAATAACCATTGCGAGACGGTGCGACGAGGTAAAATGTGCTTGAATCTAATTGGTAGTTGTGCCGTGTGTAAGTATTTGATACATACATAGATGTGTATGAAGTTGTGTGTGAGTGAAATTATGAAAAAAAGACACATGCATAACCTCTGCAAAATACTGTTAGTATAAATAGTTCTTATCATTTTGTTACATTTACTATTTGCTAGTGACGGCCAAGTCGTTGCATCACACGCTCTGAATATACGCACTATTGTAGCCAATAAAACTTAAGCACAGTCGCACCCCGCATTTCAGCGCAACTCTCTCACCTATCTTACGAGCTTATGCTCTGTCTCTATATTCCTATGTCTATTGGTCTGTTCTTTTTAGCTGCACTACTGAACTGGTACAATAAGTTAAAGTGAGAAAAAATATAATTGTCTCATTCTAACTTATTGTACTAGTTCCGCAGTGCAGCTGAAAAAAACAGACCATATGTTCCCGACACACGGCCGAGACTGACGTTTCCCTCTCGGCGTGAATCCAACGAGATGATCAATAGTGATCGATTTCGACCAAACTCGTGTTGATAAATTTGCATGACAAATTAACATTGCATATAAGGATAAGGCGTAGCGTTGAAGCGTTTGTGAGAAAATTGCGATTGAAAATCGCGAGTGATTAATGAACTAAATGAAGGAATAGGTTCCTCAGAGAGCATGTGGCTTGGTGGAAGCATACTAGATCTGCGGGTTTGAGGTTGGTGGTTCGTGTCCCGGGGGATTAGTGTTGCCTTTTTTCATACAATCTTTTATTTTTCGTTTTTTAGGAAAATGCACGTGTTACATACAACATGCAGGCATCACAAGCATTACACGATTCGTCGATAACACTCCGTCTATCTGTTTGAGACCCCGCTCTCCGCTCGGCTTGTTTCGACGAGCCGAGAGAGAGAAAAAGAGAGGGGGTGGGGAAGGGTGGGAGGGGGAGGGAGTCGGAGGGAGTGGGAGAGGGTGAGGGTGAGGGTGAAGGTGAGGATGAGGGTGAGGATGAGGGTGAGGGAGAGGGAGAAGGAGAGGGTGAGGGTAAGGGAGAGGGAGAGGGCGAGGGAGAGAGAGAGGAACAGGGACAGGGAGAGGAGAGGGAGAGGGAGAGAGAGAGAGAGTTCGTTTTATCTCGCTCTATCTCGAGATGCAGCCGAGGCTGATGTTTGTCTCGACATGGATTTGACGAGGGGAAGATCAATAGCAATCGATTTCGACTTGGTGCGTCGATAGACTTGCATGACGTATTAACATTGTATACAGATCGGCGTTACTCTTTTTTTATTTATTTTTATTTATCCATTTTTTTTACGTGTGGAAATCCTCATGAATACTCCGGCTCCTTACTGGGGTAGTGCCGGACTCTACCGGCTAAAATCCCATGGTGACTTACCTCTGGCGCGATGTTTGGGAGGCCCTCCCGCGCCTGTCCATATATAATTTTTCTTTTCGTAGGACATATTAATTTTTTCTGCAACTATTGCACATATAACACAGTTATAAATTAAAAATATATTTACATATATTCCTGAAAAAGTATTATTTAGGTTAATAATAATCAGCAATTTTTTGTAACTTAAAGTTTACCTCATATCATAAAAAATATTTATAAGTGAAATATACATCTATTTGTATGTACCTACATGAATATTCTCTATATTTTCATGAGAGGAGTGCTTTTCTGTGAAAAAGGCCTATGAAATTCATGAAGTTGTAATATATAATGTAGGACGCATGGTCGTTAAACATACAAAATTTTGAACTTGTAACAAAATATTCCATTTGTTGGTATAAATAAACATGACTTAAAGATCGCAATTATAGTTGAAATAATTGCATAAATTTCAGGCTAGCAGGACCCGTCACGGTGAACCGTACATATACGAGGGTGGTCCGATAAGTACTTAGCCTACAAAAGAAAAACGAAAATTTTGGAAAAGTGGCGATTTATTTCTCAACATAGTCTCCTTTTAGCTCGATACACTTGACCCAGCGATGCTCCAACTTCTTTAACCTATCTGAAAAATACGTTTTCTCGAGGTCTGCAAAGTAGGCCTCCGTGGCGGCGATGACCTACTCATTCGACTCAAATTTCTGCCCGGCGAGTGACTTTTTCAAGTTTGGAAACAAAAAGAAGTCGCACGGGGCCAAATCTGGAGAATACGGTGGATGGGGCAGCAGTTCGTAGCCCAATTCGACCAATTTGACCGTGGTGAGGGCGAAGGTGTGAGCCGGTGCGTTGTCATGGTGGAAGAGCACTTTTTTCTTCGCCAAATGAGGCCGTTTTTTCTGCAATTCGGTGTCGAATCGGCCCAATAATTCGGCATAGTACAACCCTGTGACCGTTTTGCCCTTCTCCAGGTAGTCGATGTAGATCACACCTTGTGAATCCCAGAAAACGGTGGCCATCACCTTTCCGGTCGATAGGACAGTCTTCGCCTTCTTCGGAGCACGTTCGCCGGGTGAAGTCCACTGTTTCGACTGTTCCTTGGTCTCTGGTGTGTACCAGTGGATCCATGTTTCGTCGACGGTCACGAAACGACGCAGAAACTCCTTCGGATTGTGCTTAAACAGCGTCAAACACTGCTCTGAAGTGGTATCACGGTTGCGCTTGTTGTCCGGAATGAGCAAACGCGGCACCCATCGCGCCGACAGCTTTCTCATGCCCAAAATTTCATGCAGGATATGACCCACGCGGTCTTTTGAGATGCCTACTGTCTCAGCTATCTCGCGCACCTTCAATCGGCGGTCTGCCAATACGAGATCGTGGATTTTTGTCATGTTATCCTCCGTGGTAGCCGTTTTCGGGGCACCTGGGCATGGCTCATCAAAAACCGACGTGCGACCACGTTGAAACTCGTTAAACCAATTTTTGACAGTTGTCATCGAAGGAGAAGAATCACC